TGTCCACTTCTCCGATAAATTATACCCTATTCTAGACCAAAACTGTCTGATTTCTATACCCCATCCCAGACTAATCTGCCTGAAAGAGCATTTAACAGCGGCACATACCCCCCTCCACCCTCACCCTGGGCTTGGCCTCTTTCAGGCGTTCAGTTAGTTGGGGCTCATCGTGATAAATGGCGCCGTACGAAACAAACTAATAAATGAGTTTCAGCGGACCATTTTTAATATTTATTGACAAGCAATCCCACGTGAATATCTTCAAAGAAACCCGTCATTTAAGCTAAGTGCGCCCCTTTCCCGCATTACATTTTCAGGTTTTATTCCTTGTAAAAGTTAAAGAAAGGGATATATGTAAGTTAAACCAAGAAATTAAATATACGTTGTTTTCATTAGGTGGCATGACAATATAATCAACAATACACAGGAATGCCTTTTCTAGTACGCGACATGAAAACAGTTTCCCTTAATCAATTTATCGTTTACATTGCTGCTTGTGAAACTGCTTAAAGAGCCTAAACATTTAAAACAAGCCCCCAATCTAAATCTGTTTGAACATTAAGGTCTGCTTAAGGTTTCTGTTTTCTGTTATGGTTCATCTTGGCTCTTCTGTATCTAACTGTGAATCCATCTGCTGATTTGTGCAGAGCCTGCAAAACATGAAACAGCTATGATAGAAAATGAGTGATAACATTAGTTTGAAAAAGCACCATGACTGATCTCAACCTTGTGGCCAGCGCAAGTTGTGGAAACGAAATTAAAAGGTAAAAGAAAGGTAAAGTCTACATACAAGCCAAGTTAAGCGTTTGAGTCGTGAGTGTGTATACATGAGTGAGTATGAGTTAGTCCTGTTATACCGAAAGTGCTGTTAATTATGTTAAGTAAAGTATTGTACTGAAAGTAATGTTAATAGCTGTGTGTATTGCAAATAAAAAAATTACGAGCCAAGAGGCCTATCAGGCCGACGCTTATCTCCGGTTTCTGTAGAATGAAGCGACTAGGAATATTTCTATTCCCCCATGGATGGGATGCTAGTCCATCGCAGGGTTACACCCAGCAATAAATTCGCTGGTACCCATTTATATACACCTGGGCGGAGAGAGGCATTGTGAGAGTAAAGCGTCTTGCCTAAACACGATGCAACATCCCCGGCCAGGGCTCGAACCCGGACTGCCTTGAGGCCACCGCGCCTCTACAGAAACGAAAAGCTATGTTGATTAAATTGGCGCTTAAAGTGAGCACTCTAAACCCCGCATGCCAAGCGAAAACTGAAGCTTTGAGAGTGACAGGTCTATCAAATCTCCACTCTCACTTACCTTTCTTGATATCTCCTTTACTCTAGTTCCTCTCGTTTCTTACGCGAGGGTTCGGTCTTCGCTCTGTCCAACTTCAGGACACGCTGAAAAATAAGATCACAGATATTGTGAAGTAAGTGATGGTTTGCTTGTTTTTGTTTGCTTGTTTTCCTGACTAGTACATAAAAAGAATGAGGTCAGTGCTATTTTAGAAAGAAATGCCATTTCTGCGCTTGCGTTCGCATTTCTAAATATAATGCAAATCACGAAACACTTTTTTATTTGATTATTTTTTTAAAAAATTTGGTAGGACACGTTTGAAACCGGTGCTAAAGGCAACCGGGAAAGGGTATACTTAACAATTAGATTACGAGCTCGACATTTCTACCGCGTGATAGTTGACGAGCTCGAGGACGCATCCCGAGTCAACTATTGCGCATAGAAATCGAGAGCGAATAATCTAATTGTTTTGGTATGACTCTACTAGTCGTTCAAAACTTTATAGAGAAGCTCCGTCGGTCCGAAGGGCCGCCAAGCGGAGCCCCGTACTCATATAGGAAAGAAAAGAAAGCCCATGAATGGATTTTCTCATGGTTATCATGGCTAGCGGTATTGCTCGTGGGCGCGTACGCACGACGGCGACGGCGGCGGCGACGACGACGGAGTCGCGCAAGATGGCGGCCATTCTCCAGCTAAGCTAAAAGGTTGACAGAAATATACAGCCTTGATTTATAGCCTCCTTCTTTGATGCTAGATATCCATATTATGGTCAATTGACACCTGTCAAATCAAAGTATCCGCTGACCAGTAACACGTGACCATATCGCGGGCTCAAGTTTAGAGCTCATCGAGGTCACATTTTTTTTTTTAAAGTTGACCGCTGACCAAGTGCTGGTTTTCTAATGTATCCGGCGCGGACTCATGTCAAATTAACTTGTTGTAAACGGGGCCGGGTTATTCGGAAGCCGGTTAACGCTAACCCAGGATTTAAGTTAACAAAAGTATAAATAGTTCTTGTGTAAAAATGTTTTTCACCTCATTTTAGCCTCATGTTTTTGAATAAAAGAAACAAAGGAACGAGTTTCGAATATTGTCTCAACAACAAAAATGATATAAATGTTTAATCAAAAAATAGTTGAATTCAACAGCTGGGTTCCATGGAGTGTTGTCGAAAATAAATATATAAAGCGAATCGTGTTTGTTGAAGCTTGGGTGATGGCAAGAAATGCAATGGGATCTGACCACAAACACAATTCTATCAGAACAAAGACGGATTGACAATTATTCATGCCTTTGTTTTCACAGAAAAATTGAATTTGATTTTCCTGGCTGTTTTTTTTTCATTTTTCGAAAGAAATCAAACGATTTTTTTGCCCACTCTTTTACCATTTGTGTGACAGGTTGTTTTTGGTTTGTTAAAAATTTCAATTTGAGCTATTTAAGCTGAAAAAAGTTTTTTTTCTGATTTCTGTTTGAGAAAGAAATGAACAAATTTTGTTTTACCATTTTAACGAAAAATTATTTTTGGCCATTTTGAGTTTGCTCGAGAAAAGAATTTAACTGATTCCACGGATGTGTGATTTTGTGGTATCTCTACGGGATTTTAAGGTGTCTCGATGTGATTCTGATGTATCGCTTTTTTTCGGACTCACTGGACGGTTTGGTCGAGGATGTCTCTCTTAGGTGTGTAAAGCACGGATAGTTGTTCTCGCTTTAGCTGTTCAAGAGCAAACGCCACTATTTTGTAGCCTTCAAGGCATCTTCAGTCAGGGTGCACTCAAATGAATAATAAAAGTCGCTGCCACGTCCGTTTTAGGTGATATCTTTTAGGAGTCCACGCCCGCCCGGGCATATTTTCGACTAGAGTCCCCGACCTCTCCATATAGGAGTCCCGAGAAACCCAAATACGAGTTCCTCTCATCTACACAGCTATTTACGTTTGTGATTTGTTTTTTCTTTTGCTGGTAGTTTTTAAGAGAACCCCTCACTGTAAATATTTTTTTCAAATTGTTTCTTTTTTCCTCTATTTATTTTGAGTCCAAAAATTAGTATGGTATTTTCCCCGGCTTTAAGGCATTGACACGTTAATAAAGTTTCCATCTATGTTTATGCTATATCTATAGCAAAACGGTTGCTGCGGGAATATATTGGTATCTTTGTTTATAAGGTTTATCGTCATTGAACGAAAAGGAAAGAAAGGAAATAACTAAAAATATAAGGTATGTTAAGATACAGAGCGAGTTACTGTGCGATACGGGTGTCTGTAAAGGTTAACCCTGGGTTAACCCTTATAATTATCGAAAGCTAACCAATGTCGAGTCAGTGATATTTAGGCTAACTTGAGCGCTATTTTGGCTAACCGTAGAGCCATTTCGTCATTTCATGTTTTACGGTCGGTAGCGTTGTCCACCCTTTTACAACTGTAGTCAGGTTTGGAATGAAATGGGTACCAAAAAAGACGTATTTTTGTCTAAAATACGGTCCAGATTTGAAGATCGTACCAAGGCGCGGGTGCCTGATTAGTCTGTATTCGAGGCAGACGTTCTTGGCATGTTTACTTGAACTTAGAATTGCCAGAAGTCGACCTTTTCTCATCGAAAGTCCTTCGCTTATTAATCTCCCTCGAACTAAGCAAGCCAGCCAACAATTACAACAACAACAACAACAACTTTATTTACTCGTACATTTACAGTTTTGTTATATCAATGAAATCTAAAGACAAAGAAAAAAGTGTACTATATGAGTCTGGAGACTGAAGTGACCAAGGGTTTTCTAGTCAGCCTCCAGGTATTGTGTTTCTATGGAGATTTAAGAGAAAAAAAAAGCTATTAAGAGAACGAGATATGTACATAAAATAGGAAAAAAAATGAGCATATAGAAATATTACTAGTTTTCAGAATGTTGCTCAGACAGTAAATAAAGTTTCAGATGTTTCGAGAAGTTGAAGGTATTGAGATCTTTTAGATGAGTAGGGATATTGTCCCAGCCTTGAACTACTCGAATCAATTCACGGTGATGAATGGATACCATACTTAACGTAAGCATCATGAACGATATGATGCATACTAAGATGTCTGTTCATTCACTTCCTCATTTATGTCTGCAACGCGCACTACCCGTGGGAAGAATGAACTCTAGGATTCTAAGATATACTTCGTTAATGGTACATAACCTACTTATCGTTTCATCTATCAATAACACCGCTGGATTATGAGCCTACCACGTGTAGAATTTCA